CAGGTGGTTCACCAGTCTTACACAACACAGCACTCACCACAACGCATACTCTCCCCAGTGTCCACCACCCAGCCAACCAATCCCCCCACTCCTTCTACTTCAGCAACCCTCAGTTTGTTTCTTGAGATTCGGAGTCTCTTATGGTTGGTTTCCCTCTCTGATTTGTCTTGTTTCATTTTTTCCTTTCTTCCCCTATGATCCTCTGCCTTGTTTCTCAAATTCCACATCTTAGTGAGATCATATGATAATTGTCTTTCTCTGATTAACTTAAAATGCTGTTATCTTAATTTGTTGTTATGAGCTAGGTAGGTCTCCTCCCTATCTAGTGGACTTGCTGAGTCACTTCATAACTCTGTTTAACCTGAGGAACTAAGTGCCAGATTGTCATCAGTCCTTTTTAATCCTTAGCAAAAACTTTTATCTACTGTTGTCGTAAGGTAAAACTTTACTCTCTAGTCCAGATATTTTAAGGATGAATAATACTTCGGTATTGGGAGTGCTAGCTAATTTACAGAAAATTCTCTGTTGGTAAAATATATACCTATAGTCTCTTTGCTTGCCATTTAATTTCTAGCAATGTGTTCAAATAGACTACTAACTATGCCAATTGAGATTTTCTTATTTTTTGTACATTTGAAACTATACTTCACACCAAATGCGCTAATAGATAGTTGCCATGGCTCTAAATGCAGTAATTCATATTTAAATTTTTATTTTTGCTTTTTCTATTTTTTATTTAAATGCAGTTTAGTTAACATTTACTGTAGTAGTAGTTTCAGAGGTAGCGGTTCAGTGATTCATCGGTTGCATACAACACTGGGTGCTCATTACTTCAGTGATGGGTACCCAGTGACTGGGTAATGCCCATCACCCAGTTACCCCATCCCCCCACCCACCTGCCCTCCAGCAACCCAGTTTGTTCCCGATAATTAAAAGTCTCTTATGGTTTGCCTCCCTCTCTGTTTTTGTCTTATTTTATTTTTCCTTCCCTTCCCCTATGTACATCTGTTTTATTTCTTAAATTCCACATATTTAAATTTCAAAAGGAGTTTTAGTTTTTGCTACTTCATTACATTTTGGATATTTCTGATTGTATTTTCCTAATAACAGTTTCAACATCGTCTATATATGTATACACTTTTCCCAGTTGAAAGCCTTGGAATATCTTGCAGTATTCCAAGGTTAAGTTATGTTTAGCATACAAATAAACAAAACAGGTTTTGTGTTTTTTTAAGGATTTTATGTATTTATTTGAGAGACCATGAGAGAGAGATCCTGAGCAGGCGTGGGAGAGGCAGAGGGAGAAGCAGACTCTCTGCCGAGCAGGTGCCTGATGCAGGACTCTGTCTGGGTCCTGGGATCATGATCTGAGCTGAAGGCAGATGCTTAACCAACTGAGCCACCCAGGTGCCCTAAAAAAGAAGAGTTTAGAAAGCAAATAGTTAAAAGTTTTGGCCCATAGGAGGTAAACTTTATTCATCTGATATATGCAAACATATGAATCATTTGCCAGTGCTAGGCAGATGAAGTGTTAATAAGATGATATACCAGCACACAAATATTCATGCAATAATAAATTGCTTTTCCAGAATTTGGATTAAGCCGTAAGATAGGGCTTGTGCCTTGACCGCTTCATTACACATCATCTCTGCTTCTTTTACAGAGGGAGGAATGCAGCCTATGTGAGCTGAGAGGAAGACAGGGGGTGGGGTCTAGTAGGAAAGTGGGGGTGAAACCAGAAGGAAAAGAGGATAAAAATACTGACATGGCCCGTGTCCCAGAGAATCCCCAATGTCCCCTTCCCTATTTTGTTAGCAGTTTACTCTACCTAAAGGAGTGAAAACATATGTTGCTTTTGTTAACAGCTTATGCCTAATGTGTAGTTTGTTTTTTTAATGAAAGACTTGTGCCTTGGAGCCGCTAACATCTTTATCAGTAAGTCCTCTGTTTTAATCACACAAATCATTTGAAATGGTACTTTAGAATTATACAGAACTGATAATGCCCCTCTTGCCTTGTTGGATCACTTTATAAGAAGCATATGATGACTTCCCTTTAGTGACGGGCATTAACCAGTGCCATCTTTGTTATAAATTGCATATTGTCTATTCAGTCCAGCCTTTCTGATGCGATTTTGTGACTAGACGTCTAATAGGGTCGTAATAATACAATAAATAAACAATATTTATTTATTTTTTACAAAGAGTTTATTTATTTATTTGACAGAGAGAGAACACAAGTAGGCAGAGAGGCAGGCAGGGTGGGGGGCGGTCAGCAGGCTCCCCGCTGAGCAGAGAGCCCAGTGCGGGGCTCGATCCCAGGACCGCGAGATCATGACCTGAGCCGAAGGCAGAGGCTTAACCCACTGACCCCCCCCAGGTGCCCTGGGTCATATTATTTATTCACTTAAAGCATTAATAGTTGGTGATCAGCTCTTTGTTAAAGATACATGTTTTGGGCCAATTTCTAGGAATTTAGATATAGCTAGCTTGTTATTATATACGTAACACTTAACCGAAATTCCTGGTTTGGGAATTAGTTGGCAGAGCAGTAGAGGAAAAGATGATACAAGAAATGGTGGGGGTGGAGGGAAGGAGGGAGGGAGGGAAATGAGGAGAAAGAAAGACTGTGGATAGTAGGCTACTGTCCCTTGTGACCCTACATAGGATTGTCGTGATTTGGGGGGAAAAATAGGAGTTTGTGGGTTTCTGGCTTTTGGGCCACCACAGTGTCATCTTGACCCACAAGTACGCAAATCACATCCTAATCACTTGAGCTCTTTGGTCCAGTATTTGTCTTTTCCTTCCAAAGAAGCTTTAATGTTCTATCCCTTTTTTCTCTGCAGTTCAGACTTGCTGTAAATACTCTCCCACACATCCCTTTGACAAAGGGTTGCTGGACCTGAGCCAGTTGATTATTTCTGATATTGTTCTGCAGCACTGCACAGAGCAGTAATGAGAAATCTCTCCGGTCCTGTGTCACATAAAGGTGATCTACCAAGTTCTAGAATCCTTTGTTTAAAATGCAGGTGGTAGGCAAAAGATGAAATTGGAAAATCATTGTTTAGTATGAGAGAAGAAGAGCTAGTATCTCCTGATCTCTGCACGGAATTGCCATTCAATTCAAAGGATCAAATACATATCCTCAAAACCGAAGATCATGGCTCCGGCTGGGTTAAGTGCCCCATCTCAGTGCTCCATGATATCCTGCATATATGTGTCCTTATTTCTGCACTTTAGTTTGTGACTGCCTGCTCCTGTGCCTTTGCCTCCCCACTCGCGCACCCTACTTTTAAACTGTAAAGTCTTGATGTTGAAGACTGACTGTGTTACCACTCCATCTGGCCCATAGTAGGTTCTAAAATAAATATTTGTGTAAATGTATGAATTTTTATTAAAGGAAAGTTAGATTGTCAATTGATCTTCAATCCTGTTAGAATCTTTAAAACTTCCCTCTCAGATGACTTTGTTCCCAGCAATATTTTACCACTGTAATACAGATTTTTAGTCACAAATGTCATTCCGAATCAGGTAATACAATTTGATCAGTCAACTTGTATTTCTCGTTGCCCTATAAGTTCATTAGAGCCTGAGTTCTAAAAATGAGCAGAACTAGATTTAGCATAGTTTAGTCCTGTGGACCTTCTAAATGATCTTACCTCAAACAACTCCCCCACTAAATCCTCTTAGTTCCCTTGTTTGCTCTTAAGCATACGTTGTTTGTTCAATGTAAATGCACTGAGACTCTGTGATGTGTAGGCATCCACTGCCATAGGAGCGCATGGCTTGATGGGAGAGAGGCAAGTGGGTCAAGGGGTACAGTGTAGTATGAGGGCCATCACTGAAGAACATCCAGTGTGAAATGTAAATCTAAGATGTGTGACTGTTAGGGAAAGTTGGTCTGAGAGAGGGACATTCATGCAGTCTTCAAGGATGAGTTCAGATCTGACGAAAGGGGATAAGCATGACAGGGAAAGGAAATGGCACATGGAGAAAATAGGAAGCATGTAGACACAGAAATGACAAGCATGTCTTCAGGGAATTCTTAGAAGAGGCCAAAGGGAAAAGGCAGGCCTGAATGGATACCTGTGAAGGAGTATGGAAGTTAACCTCTAGGCCAAAGGGGAAGTTATTAAAAAGTTTTCAACAAATTAAGCATCTGCCTTTGGCTCAGGTCACGATCCCAGGGTCTTGGGAACCACGAGCCCTGTGTCAGGCTCCCTGCTCAGCAGGGAGTCTCCTTCTCCCTCTCCCTCTGCCCTTACTGCCACTTGTACATGTGCGCTCGCTCTCTCTCTCAAATAAATCAATTAAATCTAAAAAATTTTCTCTCAACAGTGGAATGACATGATCTCACTGTTCCCTACCTGTGTCTTTCCTTCAGGGACTTTTGTGGCCTGTTTCCCTATCATTACTATTACTTTCTTTACTAATGGGTTGTGCCAAATTGATTCATTTGGTTAGAGTAAAATGACTTTAGGTTGCAGTTTGGAACATTCTAAAACTCCAGAAATGTCCTTTTCCCCCACCTTCCACCAAAAAAAGAATTCTGTACCATGGGTAGATACTGTGACCCTAATCCCAACTCGTTACCTGACAGACTGACTATCTCATTCTGTTCTTACTGTTGAAAAGGAAATGGGGGGGCGCCTGGGTGGCTCAGTGGGTTTAAGCCTCTGCCTTCGGCTCAGGTCATGATCTTGGGGTTCTGGGATCGAGCCCCGCATCGGGCTCTCTGCTCAGCAGGGAGCCTGCTTCCTCCTCTCTCTGTCTGCCTGCCTCTATGCCTACTTGTGATCTCTGTCTGTCAAATAAATAAAGAAAATCTTTAAAAAAAAAAAAAAGAAAGAAAAAGAAAAGGAAATAGGGAGTGAATTTTCATTAAGAAAACAAAATACTCCATAACGTTATACTAATTTAACAAAATGAGTGTGGACTACACATGAAAGCAACTGTATTTGTACACTTGAGACTTTACTATTTTGTGTTAACCCTTTTGAGCCTTTTCACGTCTGTGTCTGGCTTCTGAATGTTCACAGTACACTTGCAGTCCGGAGGGCTGCTGGCTCCCGGCCACAGTGCTCCCAGCGATTGCTCTTTGCAGTTTTGATCAAGAGCAGTGCGGCCAATTGTTTGATTGTTTGTGTCCAGGTTTGTAGCCTGCCTCCCAATAAATCGTGCTTTGGAATTTTACAAAGATGTCATTCTTGGCATCTAAACTGAAAATCCTTTGTGTCCAGCACATCATTTTCCCTTTATGAATACTGCTTAATGAGAAAGTAGCTTATGAACAGTGTCCCGTTTTAAAAATGTGATTTGAAGTAGCGGAGAGCAGCTGTGCATATCACCTGGATGGCACGAGCCTTTATGCTTACTCATTGGCACCGATCCCTTAGTGAAGGCAACTGCAGAAAGTGTGGGAGGCAAGCGGGCTTCTTTCTGGGGAAACCCAGGCCTCATTTGATTCATTGCTGCCACCTGCTGGGCCCTGGCTGCTGGAATGGGGAGGCCACACCTGGATTCCCACTAAGCCGTCCAGGGCCATGTGGTTCCAGTGTTAATCAGCTCTTGTTTCCAGGTGACAACCGGCCCCTAAATGAAAGGATCCAAACAGTAGAGCATTACAATACCAGTCAATGTAAGGTGGTATGTGATTGGGTTTGTTAATACAGAATCCCCAGCACTTAAACTTCGAGGACTCAAGATCCTAGAGTATTAGGGCTGGGTGAACCATTAAAGCAGATGCCGTGGAACTTTAGTGTACTTAAATCAGAGTCTCCTAGAGGCTTGTGAAAATGCAGATTCCCAGGTCTGGCCCCGGAGATTTTGATTCACTAGGCCTAAGAAGAGAGGTTTATTTAACAAGTCTCCCGCGAGGCTCTGGGACAAGTAGTCAGCCCCAGGAAGGGCACTGCCTTAAACATTATCTCTGTAAGAGGTTCTCAGCCATTTTTCTTGTCAGTACCTCATTTCAACAAGTAAAAAATATTACATCCTCTGTCATCAGGGTGAGTCACTAGTACTGTAACTGGTTCTGTGAAGCATATACACAAAATATTACTGGATTGGTTCTACATGCGGAAAAAACACTTTTTTTTTTTTAAGATTTTATTTATTTATTTGACAGACCGAGATCGCAAGTAGGCAGAGAGGCAGGCAGAGAGTGAGAAGGAAGCAGGCTCCCCGCCGAGCAGAGAGCCCGATGCAGGGCTCGATCCCAAGACCCTGGGACCATGACCTGAGCCGAAGGCAGAGGCTTTAACCCACTGAGCCACCCAGGCGCCCCCGGGGAAAAAACACTTTTTAAAGATTTTATTTATTCATTTGAAAAAGAGTGCCAGAGAGAGAAAGAGAGAGAGCGTGCGTGCAAGCAAGCACAAGCAGAGGGGAGGGCAAAGGTAGAGCGAGAACCGGACTCCCCACTGAGCAGGGAGCCCAACCATGAGGATGTGGGGCTTGATCCCAAGACCCCAAGATCATGACCTGAGCTGAAGACAGACACTTAACTGACTGAGCCACCCAGGAGCCCCAAAAAACACTTAAAAATAATTAACTTTTCTCTCTATTGCCAAGAAAGCAGTACTATAATTTAATTGGTCAATTTGTAGTGGAATGCTTTTTGGCCTTGGGCATTGCCACGTAAAGGTAGGGTTTGCTACTATATTTATCACGGCCATCATTTCCCTGAATATAGTAATCGTTTGGTTAATGTGTATTGATTTTGAGGACCTAAAATGACATAAAACAGAGTTCTGTCTTGTGTCACAGCTCACCTCCTTCCTCTGGAGGAGCCAAGCATGAGAAAACCGCAGGCCCCGTGGCTTTTACCATGTCTTGTTATCACTTCTTATTCCTTACCCTGTCTTGGCAAGCTTGGCTAAGATCAAAACAATACTAAAGATGAAGGATAATCTTCTTTATTACACAGGAAAACAAGTGGCCTGATAGCAAATTTGAAAAGTCACCTTAGAATTGAGAATTCTGAATGCCTGTCATGTGCTTGCTTTCTAGAATATTATCCCCAAAATATTTGTTATTTTTGTATATGTGCTCCTTCTTCTGAAATGACTGGTTCCAGTCCAAGAATAACCCTGTCCAACTGTGACCTGAATGAAGCCACTGAACACAAGGGAAGATTACACGTGGTATAGACCATATCTTAGTAAGCAGTGAGCACCAGTAACTTTCTAGTGTATTTTCATTGGAACGTTTTTGGTTTTTTTTCAAGCTCTCAGGTCATTGGCATTCCACACTTCCAATCCCTTTAATGCAAGTGAATGTATCTTTAACACAGCATGTAATGCATGTGTAGAACCAAGAGACAGTTTGTTGAACATCTTTATAGAGAAATCTTGTTGAGCTTTCAAGATCATAATTTGTATTACTTGTGAGTGGGGTTTGGTGTATGGTTTTATTTTAAATTTTGTTTCGCCTTCAAAGTCTCATCTTGGGTTGTTTTTGTTTTTAGGGGTACCTAAAGGAAATCTTGAAAGAAATTGGCGTTCAGAATGTAAAAGGGACCCACAAAAACACATGGGAGCTGAAGCCAGAGTATAGACATTATCAAGGAGAAGAAAAGAGTGATTAAGAAGACTTCGCCAGCATGCCAGCAGAACAACTAAAGGGCGGTGCGCTGAGGAAGCACCACCGAAACTCAGATACTTGAGTACCGTCTGTTGTAGGGGTGAAATGACTGGAACTTTAATTTTCCTAGGTAAATTTTTTAAACAATAATTCTTGTAAAGTTACTCAAGTGTTGTTGTTTTTGGTTTGGTTTTTTTTTTTTTTTTTTTTTTGAGGAAAAAAATTTATTTATAGGCTTGTATTAAACCTAGATTATTCAGAAGGGGGTGAGGGGTTGGGGAGGTTAAGAAGGTTTTTCTTTTTAAATACTGACTTTTAAAATGTAAAACTAGGAAATGTTTTCTAGATGAGGACTCTCTGTCCTTGTTTTCTCTGAGGATCTGAGGTGATGGAAAGCGGAAGTGAATGGCAAAGCCAGAAAAAAGCGGTCAACTACAGAAAGACTTAAAGGGAATAAAAAACCAAAGTTCCTTATTCTGACATCGTCAAAGAACAAAGCTGTCTTTATTTATTTATTTTTTACAGGAGATCATGTTTCATATTCACACCCATTAATAAAGAAGAGGGCATTTATGTTTGTACCTAAGATAGCAGTTTTCATTATTAGCTTGCATATTTAACCCTCCTGTTAGTGACATGAGAAATGGGAAAAATCTTGGCCAATGACTATATCTTTTATTTGCTTTTATTTATTTTTTAAAAGATTGGCTTGTTTAAGTAATCTCTGCATCCAGCAAGGGACTTGAACTCATTACCCCACAATCAAGAGTCACGTGGTCTACCAACTAAACCAACCTGGTGCCCCTCTTTTATTTTGTTTTTAAAAGAATTAGAAATTAAATATTTTCCCAATAATTCAATATCTGTCTCTCCCATCCAGATTATAAGCTTCTCAGAAACTGATTTTGTTCCATAATTTTGCTTCATACTCAGCTGGCAGATACTGATTGTCGCCTGACGAATGATGTCGACAAACTAACGGAGGGTTGTAGGGGTGAGGCCGGTATGTATTAGGCAGGCACAAAAACAAACGTACCCACAAACAAGACCACGCAAGTAAACAAAGGAAACTTTTAACAAGTTAATTGCTTCTGGGCCTTTTGGCTAAGATCAAGTGTAACAAATAACCACAAGGAAAAGTTGCTTTTCATTTGTTCATTTTGTCAGCTGCTTCTGTATGTGCCCAACCCAACCAAGAAGGAACGAATGCAAGAAATTTAAGAAACTGTTACATAACTAAAGCCAATCAAAGAGGAATCTATCCTTTGAAATAAATATTTTTCTGTATTATTTGATTTTCAGCAGGGAACACCATCATGCAGAGGCTGAGGACAACTGCTTTGAGAAAACATCTACCTTTGCATTCCCACTGTAAACTATAATTCTGATGAGGGAGGGTGGTCTTATTCTACGTTGTTCTGGTGCAGGAACCAAATGTATCCCCCTTACCTTTGTTTCTGACAGAGACTCAGTGTAAGGGAGCAGATGGATAATGGTGTGACCGATCTGTGTAGAACTGAGAATTCTGGATACCTGTCATGTGCTTGGTTCATAGCATATATCTCCCCCTGCAGACCTTGTCTTTTTTTGATGTTTGGCCCTGCCCTGAAACATACCTCTGTGTCCTCTCCTTCTGTCTTTAGTTTTTATGGTGACCGTGCCTGCCAGATTGAACTGTATAGCTGCTGGCAGAGCTTCCGGGCAGGGCTATGTCTCCTCAGAAGCTCTGCTCTGCTATTTCTGCCAGGTCTGGTTTCTTCAGCTTATTTTAGGTATCTTTTACCTCATCACACCTGACAGTATCTGCTTGAGTCATTTAAACACTTGTTACTTGTTCAGTGGCAGAGCTAATCTAGGCGGTAGACTGGTACCATTCCTGATTAGATTTTTTGAAATTGCTTTCTTATTTAATACTAAAATATGGCTACTGGTAATGAAGGAGACTCTCTCTGGCTTCTTTTATTCTTTTATTCAGAACTCGCTTGCTCTATAAACACGCTTTCAACAGCCAACTATCAGGAAGTAGGAGTCCTCAGCCCTTATAACCACTGTGAGATTGAGAGAGGAAAGCTAGTAAGATGTCACATCCTAAGAGCACAGGAGGGCCATGTTTCATAGGTGATTTAGTTAAACTCTGCTAGTTACACTCACTTAAGGGATGTTTTAACCAACAAATGGTAATAAATATATTACGGTTGCTGGGCATTGGAAAGATCTGAAATTACATGTTGCCACAGTAACTTCTAAAATGGTAGATCTTAAAAAAGAAAACCGTTTTTGCTCTGTTGTATCATAAGCAGCCCTTAAGGAGTTCAGCAGAGTTGGAGTTATTCCTCATGGTCTGTGAACAAATTTTCTTTGGAGCTTATTTTCATCCTTGTTGGTACTTACCCGTGAAATAAGAGTAAACACGTATCAGGCCCTTATGTGCCTGGCAGTGTGTTAAGTGCTCTAAAATATTGCATTTGATCCTCAAAAATAGCTCTGAGAGGTAGATAATGACCATTTTATACAACCATTTCCTGCCCAACACACTGTCATGAGACCTGATCCCCTTTAGGGGAAATTCTACCTTTGGGCCAAGTGAATACCAGAGTGTACTTTTCCAGAAACCTTCCCCTGACACCCCATCTCCCCCACCCCCACCCCACCCCCGCTCCCGAAAAATCCTCCCTCCAGGAAAATGGTGCAGATCCCGGAAGACGTGAGAGCAAGGGAGTTTGCCTTTGGCATCTCTAATACAAACACCCAAACCTCCCCATTGACAGATGAAAACTCAACTTCCTACTTTAAAGTCAAGATCCCCTTGCTACAATTTTCATCCCTGCTCTTCTTCAAGTACCCAGGAAGGGTGCACAGCTTTAGACTGGCCTTACTTTGACCTCCATAAGAGTTAAGGACCCCTGTGGAATGTGATAGGCTGGGGCACTGGGCTGAAGGGGCACTGCCTTATAGTCGGCCTTCACTTGCTGGGCTGGGCTGGGCACCCACCTTTCGTCCCAATACATTGGCCATTTTCCCTAGTGTTTGTGTCAGAGTCCAGGAGGCGATAAGCTGGTTTTCTTTTCAGCTCAGTTTTCTTTCTGACATGAGTCCAGAGTAGGTTCCTGAGCCTAATATTTTTATTAGGAGGATCAGTCAGAGGTTGCTTCTTAATCTTCCTTTTCTTCACCTACTTCTGTCTTTTCTTCTTCCCACTTCTTGGTCTTTGAGCAAGTACCACCATCCATAGTACAATAGTACCATGTAAATCTGACAGCAGTATAAGCCTTTAATGGTTTCTTATACGAAAATCAGCAGCTTTTATCTGACTTTGTTAGAAATCATCTGAATTAAAAAGGGACATTTTAGATGCTTTAGCTCCCAGTTTAAACTATACTCTGTCAGATCAGTTAGTCTTAAATTTTAGGGTTTTAAAGAATGATTTTCTTAAAGCGTACCATATTTTTATATGTTGCAATTTGTATTTCAAAATCTTAAGATAGGAGGTTTCTTTTGTTTTGTGGGAATGGAAGTACACCAAAAGAACATGTTGCTGGACTGAACGCCATAGTGCGGTGTGGTCATGGAGCCCAGCGGCAGGTTATTGTCAAGTATTTATTGACCACAGTTCTGTCCCAGGCAGTGTGGGTACTAAAGTGCTAGACATAAGAGGCATTCACAGTCTAGTGGGAAATAGACAATGTAGACAGATACAACACTGTGTGGGTAGAGAAGTGTGAACTGAGTGTTGCAATCAATCAGAATATACCAGTTAATTCATTGTTGCCATTTATGCTTTGCGTGGATTTCCAATTTTTAAAGCATTTGAATGCAGTAATGTATACTTAATTTTAATTTCCTTGAATCTAATTTAACCACTGAAAACTCCTAAAACACAAGAGGCTTTATACAATGCCTGAGGATCATTATTACGAACACATACAGTGGATGTCTGTAACACATCGATCTCGTTAATAGAATGCTAAATTGAAGTGTTCACTGGCCTGGTCCTTGTGACGTGTTAGCCTTATTTCTGATTGCCATTCTAGTTTCTCTTCTTGAACAAAAGCCTGGGAAGCACTTGGGCCATTCATTCATTCATTCATTCTGTGAAAACCCACTAAATGGCCCCTGGGTGCCAGGCACCAGGAGCAAAGGGTGATGGGTATTTGTAATAGTGTGCCTTCCATGCCAGCAGTTCTCTAAATGTGCAGGAAGAAAAACAGCTTTTGTTCATTGGACCCTTGCTGTATATCAGGCACTGTGCTAAGTGTTTGACTCCTGTTACTCATCTAATCCTCACAACACTAAAACATGGGTCTCTTTTTGCCTTTTATGGATGTGGAACATCAGGTGCTAAAAGGTTGAAGAACCTAACCAAGGTCATAACCAGGGTAGTCGGGGGCAGAGCCAGATTCAAATCCCAGAAAAGCACTCGGCAGTGCCGGCTCTTGTTACTGTTACGTGTATTAAGTGTATTTTTTTGGGTCCAGTGCTGCTGAAGGCCCTTAGCTGTAATTCACCTGCCCAGAGTCTCCATTTGGTTTTCTTTTGTTGTTTGTATATTATTGTTATTAATATTATTGAGGTGTGATTGACCTATAACTCTTTTGTGTTTGATTTCTCACTAATGTCTTTCTTGATTCCAAAAAGAATTAATTCTGGATTCTGCCTGAGTTTTTTTTTGCCTTTAGAGGTTAGTTTCCAATTTTGTTGAGATTCTGGAGTTTTTTATGGAATGGTGTTCCTTTTTTTTCATGGCTCTAGATTCAGAGGAGATATTTCCCAGGAATGACTGCAGATGGCCAGTGTACTTGATTTACTTAGATTCTAGCCAGCCAGGCAAATGAAGAAAGTTGGTCATTTGGCCGGTCACAGCTGAGGGCCTCTGCTGTGGCCTCATAAGCACAAAGGAAGTCCCATCGGTTTGGGACTGTTAAGTCGTGGAATACAGAGCTCAGTACGACCAGGCCCTTGCTTCCAGAAACTCCTAGGGTTGAAGAGGACTTGGAAGCCAACAACCAGCCAACATAGTGTAGCAAGTGCAGCAATAGAAACACACGGCAGAATGTTTTAAGAGCTACTTGGGTTCAAAGCAGCTCACTCAGAACAGGTTGTTTGCTTTGTGTGCCTCTTTGTTTCCTCATTTGTGAAGCAGATGCATTGAAAATATCTACCTCACAGAACTGGTGAAAGCTGAGCGAGTCCGTCTATCAGCGCTGTCTTTAGATCCGTGGGTGGGACTCTTGGTGGTGCTGTGGTGCGGGAGAATTGCTGCCCTCTCATTGCACAGCTGACTGTCATCCTGCTGCTGCTGTCAGGGCGTAGGGAACGTAAGTAGTTCCAAAAAAAAAAAAAAGTCAATATACGTAAAGCACTTAGAACACTGTGTGACATGTAGAAAGTACTTTATCATATACTAAATACGTAAAATATGGAAGTGGCACAGAGAACGAAGTGATTAACTACATCTTCGGAGAGTCAGGAAAGCATTCCTCAAGCTGCCCCTGCAGTGGATTTCGAACGGGGGTCTAGGAGTTCATGACTCAGAGGGCAGGAAGTACAGGGAGAACAAGTGCATGGGTATCACTCAGCAGGGTGCTTGGAGTGAGATCCCACACACACCTGCAGTGTCCTCCCAGATACAGCTTGGTGTAGTATCGGAGTGTGGTTTGACAGGTCACATCTACTTTTGGTCTGATAGAAGAATGTGGAGGGCAGGTCGTCGCTGCCTGGGACCAGGTGGAACAGATGAACACCTAGGCAGGACCAGCCTCCTTCAGTCATATGCAAAAGTTCAAAATGATGTGAATAACCTAGTTGCTCCCTTCTTTGCAGTGTGCTTTTCCACTTTGATTCATCCCTGAACACATTTCTTTAATCCAATTGAAGTGACAGTGGAAACCAACCTTAGTGAATTACATGTTAGAGGTTTGAAGTCCCAATCCTTTATCCTTCCACCAGTGCAGACTCTAACAAATAAAGATAAATAGGGAGCAGGAGCTAAATGAGGTCGGATGCACTTTACTAATAGAGGCCCAGTAACTCCTAGCTGGACTAGAAGACCTAGCTAGGAGCTGAGGCTGAAGAGAGCATTCAGTATCTTTCTCCTCAGTTGGTGATGACTGACTGGCCACTGGTAGGCAGTACCATTTGCAAGTGAAAAATCTGAAACAGCTGGAAGAAGACCTCCAAATGGCCAGCAGGTACATAAAAGATACGGAATATCACGAATCATCAAGGAAATGCAAATCAAATCGACAATGAGATACCACTTCACACCTGTTAGAATGGCTAAACTCAAGAAGACAAGAGATAACAGGCATTGACAAGGCTGTGGAGAAAAGGGAAACTTCATATGTAATTGGTGGAACATAATTGTTTCAGTCACTATGGAAAACAATATGGAGGTTCCTCAAAAAGTTAAAAATAGATCTACTTATTCCACTACTTATTCCACTTATGGGTACCCAAAGGAAATGAAAACAGAATATCAAAGAGGTATATGTGTGCCCATTTTCTTGCAGTATTATTTACAATAGCTAAGATAATGGAATGACCCAAGTACCCATCAACAGATAAATGGATAAAGAAGATGTGAGGGGGTGTGTGTGTGTGTGTGTGTGTGTGTGTGTGTGTGTGTGTGAGAGAGAGAGAGAGAGAGAGAGAGAGAGAACTCTTAAGGAATATTATGCGACCATGAAAAAGAAAATCTTGCCACATATTAACCTTTAAGGTGTATGCTGAGATAAGTCAGAGAAAGATGAATAGTCTTTCTTTCTTTTTTTTTTAATATTTATTTATTTATTTGACAGAGATCACAAGTAGGCAGAGAGGCAGGCAGAGAGAGAGAGGAAGGGAAGCAGGCTCCCCGCTGAGCAGAGAGCCTGACTCGGGGCTCAATTCCAGGACCCTGGGACCATGACCTGAGCCGAAGGTAGGGG